TCTGGCCCGATTTTGATGGCCAATAGCTTAAAATTTTCAGTAGGAAAATTAGAAGAACGTCTCCGAGAGACTTTTCAATTTTAGTACAATAATCCAAATCAGAATTACGCCTGCACCAACTGATACTTTGGCTCCATATGTACGCCAAACCGTATCGATTAAAACAAAAACTCTCGGACAAATCCTTACAATGGGTATTGAGAGTATGTTCCTAGAGTTTCAGAGGCCTAGGCAAAAGCATTGGAAAAAATGAACATTTTGAATGAACCCCACTTTCAAGTTTTCAGAGATATCTGCCTGATCGCATGTACACGATTCTGGCATGCTGGCTGGATCGTGTGACAGCGGCCTGTCCAAAATGGCGCCCACGCTTTTGTGTGATGCTGTGAGCCCTGAACTTGTTTTCATGTTAATAAAGAAGCTTGTTCCTAAACGTTTTCGTCGCCATCTCATCAGAGGATTACTGGCAAATCAACAATAGCTATTAACTCAATATATATACGCACAATGCAAGTAATAAAATAGTGATTGTCGTTCTAGTTATACTGATGATTGCTTTTCTGTTTGGTCTCGTTCACGTAGTCAAAGGTATTTGCGTGTATTGGAGTCTATCTACATTTTTACCACCAAGGCGATTTTGTGTAGGCAGAAAAAGAATTTGTTTACGTTGAAATTGTTTGTGAATATAGATCAGTAGTTCTCGTTTGTGGTTGCATGGTTACTTTCTAGTGGTGAATTTATCGCATCTGTTGTCACCTGATATCGTTGATTGATGTAATGTTTCTTTCAGCTCTCATTTTCTCGCGCTAGTTAGGGTCTAAATTATTACTTGCATTGTGCGTATATATATTGAGTGAAGAGCTATTGTTGATTTGCCAGTAATCCTCTGATGAGATGGCGACGAAAACGTTTAGGAACAAGCTTCTTTATTTACATGAAAACAAGTTTTGCTAATGGTGTTTGTACTGAGTGCGCAGCTTCCTCTATTCATTGCGTTGATTACATTTTTATCTCCACGGAAGCTTTTTAATAATAATAATAATAATAATATTTCAAACAGTAGCTTGGAGGCGGAGGGAAAACGGTTTCGTAATAAGTATTCGCATGCAACGACGCAAATCCACACAATTCAGTAGACACTTCTTTTCTATCAAACGTTTTCTTTCCCTTCTCTTCAGGATAGTACAGGGAATGTTGGAAATTTTGAAAAACACATAACTATATAGAAAAATAGAGAACAAGTCAACACTTCAACATAGGCGACAAAATGACTAAAGTGTTAACAAAAACTTGAAAACAATAGCAGCAAGTTGTAGACAAACACGTTGAACACATCAAGAAGCACTTGTCACACTTTCACGAGGTGTAACACATTCTCCTTCTGTACACATAGGTCTAGATCTAGTTATGAATTAAAAGAGCTTCTAACACAGCAAGATGTAACTTTGACCTTCCACGAGTTAAAACCGAAAAGACATCATCACTATACAACTCACGACAATTAGCACTTCCCGACAAATGACGCTTGATGGACGATGTCCGATCATTTAGCTCTGTCACCTTCGACGTTTGCCGTTGTTCTCTTCCGTTGGGCTTGTTGACACCTCTAACGTTCTTTGAATTCATTGTCGTTTTCGTTTGACTCCTCGGTCTTCCTCGTTTCCTCCTGTTGATCGTTGTTGTCACTTCCAGTACCGACGTATTCAAATCTCCAGTACTTCGTCTCTTCACCTTGCTTCTGGTAACTCTTCCGGTGTCCGTGAGCTCCGGTGTCACAAAGGGCGGTTTTCGGGATGGTCTTCCTCGCTTCCTCACGCTAGTCTGAGATGGGTCAAGCTCCCTGCCCGTCGAGGCGGAGGCGCACATGCGTACATCGACACTGGACGCAGACAAAGGCGCACCAGTATCGGACTGCACAGCACATTTTGGAGGACGGCCACGACGAGGACGAGTACCACGAGCGTCAACAGGGACAAGACATTTGGAGTTTGCCAGAGGCTTCACGTCGGTGTCTTCGGAGGACCAGGAAACAATCCTCCATGCACGGAAATCCCTGCTATTCGGCCTCGGGAAAGAGTGGATGAAGAAGGGAAGCGGAGTATTCGATGTAGGGCCGAAACGATTATACCGATTACTCGTATATCACTCGTTATGGATGAAATCGATAATCGTTATGATTGATAACGATTATGACTGTACAGTGCGAGAGCCAGCTGTCATGACGTCAGTACATGCAGACCATGCATGGCATCATGCACGCGTGTCATGAACGTCGAAGTACAGGTGAGCCGGCCGTAGCGTCAGGTCCGTACAATCATTGCGCTCTTGATCCTTTTTGGGTACTCGTAGTCGTACATAGTCATTACATTCACTGCACTAGTCAGCGTGGCCGGAAAATGTAACAACCAGAAAGCTTCATTACTATTCGGTTGTAGCGAAACTGTGAGGGTGGCTGCCGGCCTTCTAACTTATCAGCGCCTTCTAGGTTCAGCCTGGTCCCATAGCTCAGTGGTTAGAGCATTGCTCATGACAAGCAGGGTCCCAGGTTCGAGTCCTGGTGGGTCTGGCGTTTTTTTCTCTTTTCAGGCAGTTCACTTCCCCGACTGATACTTTGAATTTGAAGTTCTCCCAATCCTTTCCAAATAATAATAATAATAATAATAAAGACTCATAATAATAATGAAGTGTGTGGGTACAGTGAGGGCTGCGTCCCACCCGCCTCTGTGGATTCACAGGAAGTGTGAGTTACGAAGTCTGAAGAAAATGTTGAACAGTCTCTGCTGGGATGACGACTACACCATAGCTCAGTGGTTAGAGCATCGTTAGCCACAAGCGAGGGTCCCTGGTTCGAATCCTGGTGGTGACGGTCAATTTTTTCTTCAGACTTTTCCCGTTTGTCTCTTTCCCTCAAACTTGTGAAGATATTATGACTTGGGGCTCCCCGCGTGCTAGAGTGTGCGTGAAGTGTGTGGGTACAGTGAGGGCTGCGTCCCACCCGCCTGTGTGGACTCACAGGAAGTGTGAGTTATGGGCTGGCTTCACCGCTTGTTGATGCGGGACAAACAAAATGAAGAGCTACGCAACGCACATAGAGCTGCAAGGGTTGCAGCAGGAAAGCTAGTTCATCAGCTCAGAAACGAGTTCTTCACTGCACAGTGCAACACCAGTGACGAGCGAAGACTTTGGTCAATCATGAATGCAGTTGCTGGTTGGAAGAAAGAGTCGTCTGAGCCACAGGCATCCATCACAGAACTAACTTCACTCTTTCATAGTATTGTCCATGACCCAGCTCGAACATTGAACCTTCAGCCACCCGCAGGGCCAGCATTGGAGACATCCCTATCCAATTTCCAGCCAGTTTCACTTGAAGATGCCTCTTTTCTTGCATCGAATCTCACCAGCATTATCAATTTGTCTCTTGGAACTTGACAGGTTCCGCCTACCTTCAAAGTGTCACATTTCAGTCCATTGTGTGGCAACCCAACCCTGCCCCAGAACTATCGTCCAGTGTCTCTCCACCCCATTATCTCTCGTAATCTGGAGACAATAGTTAAGAGACAGCTCATGGCCTATCTGGAGGCACATTCGACTGAGGATGCAGTTGTGTTAGCTGTTAATATATGGTCCAACGCTAGATGCAAACGAGAGTTCCCTGGGACAGTGTTCGTTGATATGTCGAAAGCCTTCGACTGCTCCCATTCTGACCCTTCTATGGTGTGCAGAACCCTCACGCAAGCCATGACAAACCTTGCTACCTGGCTGGAGGACGTTGGCCTGCTCCTCAACATTCCCAAGAAACAGTTGCTCTTCATCCGGCCACGGCTGCAATACAACCGGAGGTCTGCTGCAATGGCGAGAAATTCTGTGTGATCCCTAAAGCCCAGTACCTTGATTTAGTCCTGGATATTGATTTATCCTGGGCTCCACATGTTGAGTATATCGGTCGCAAGACAGCGCGAACAATTGGTCAGCTCTGGTGGCATGGACGAAGACTGAGTTTGCTTGCCCGGCGAACATGGTTCCTGAGCATGGTCCTTTCCCAGCTGTGTTATGGTTCAAACAGTTTCTTTCCAGGACCTAGCACACACCTGCTTGGTCCGTTTGAAAAGATGTTCAAGGCTGGCATCGGTGCCACCTTGCGACAGCAGCTCTTGCGGAGTCCAACCCTTCTTGATCAAGTCTCCAAACTCTCTAACAGAGGTCTACGGTCAACCCTCCAACAGCGTAATCTCGTGCCCACAGCCCCTCTTCTATCCCTGCTGATGTCCCCAGCCTACTGCAACTGCTAAATCAAAGGTTTCTGGTCCTAGTTCATCGGTGCCTCCACCACAAAGCTAGCCCCCTGCTTTAGGAGATGTTCACAGGCACTGCTCCAGTTGGCGTTCCCAGCAACATCCCGGTAACTTGAGGGCAGCAGTCCAATCTGCTTTGTGTGCATTTTCTCCTCAGTCCCTTCGGGCGACGTTCCATCTGGTTCGTGGCAATTGTCCAGTGAAATGCTCTTTCCCTCAGCGTCAGAACTGAGGCTGGAAAGCGGACCTTCCAGGCTCTCACAAGCGCACTAGATCTAGAGGCGAATGCAGCGGAGCAGTAACTCAGTCAGCTACTCTCACAGACTGATCGATCTCTGTCTCTCTCTCTCTCTCTCTCCCTCCCCCCCCCTCCCCACTCTCACTCTCCCTCCTCTCCCCCCCCCTCTCTCTCTATCTCTCTCTCTCTCTCACTCACTCTCTCCTCCACTCCCCCTCTCTTTCTCTCACTCTCTCCCCCCCCCTCTTTCTCTCTCTCTCTCTCTCACTCACTCTCTCCTCCACTCCCCCCTCTCTCTCTCACTCTCTCCCCCCTCTCCCCTCTCTCTCTTTCTCTTTCTCTCTTTCTCTGTCTATCTATCTATCTATCTTTCTATCTATCTATCTATCTCTCTATCTCTCATTTTCTCTATATCTCTCTCTCTCATTCTCTCTCTCTCTCTTTTCCAATACATGCCCACCATGACTTACAGGATTTGTAATTTGGTTGTGGATTTGAACAGCCCGTCAGGTAGGTCTACAAGTTTATTACTCCTGAAATATCTGGAAGAACAAAGTAGAATTCGGATAAGATGTACATTGTACGTCAAGTGTGTGGGTTACAGTGAGATCTGCGTCTCACCCACCTGTGTAGATGAGAGAGAAAGAGAGAGAGAGAGAGAGAGATTGATAGAGAGAATGATAGAGAGATGAGACGGAGAGAGAGAGAGAGAGAGACAAACATAGGGAGATGAGCAAATTAAGAAGATATATCTGGTTGATTTGATGTTGCACTACCGGGCTAATATGGGATTACAAGTACATTCATTTGTAACTAGTTGCATGAACATATTGCCTCACGCAGAGCCTTCCAGCTCTTACGACAGGCAAGTATCGCCCGGAGCGAATGGAGATCTCCCGGAGTCAGGAGTCTACCCTGCCCGGCTTTCTGCAGATCTTGATGCAGCACGTTGGGAAGAGTGACGCGTGGCCGGCCAAGCCATCTGGTGCTGTTGTTTGCGAAAAAAATTCCATTGCCATTACTGCGGGGGTTGATGGTGGCAGCCGCAAGATGTGACCAAATAGACGCCACCTGGCACAGCGTATGAAGATGCTGATCTCCTCTATTTGGCACCTCTGGTACAGTGCTTCATTGGAGATGCGCTGTGGCCATTTGATGCCAAGGAGAGACGGCAACTGACGTCGGTGTAAGGCATCCAACTTCTGGAACGCAAATTGCGTGAGGCCGCAAGTACCACAGTTGTAAGTGAGGACGGGTAGGACGAATGCCGAGTACAATCGCAGGCGCAGACGCTCACTCACAGCAGATCTCCGTTTCCAGAGGTTAAACATTGAAGCAAGCTGCTTCCTCCGTGCTACGTCAGCCTCGTCGCCAAGACGAGATCCTAGTTTTCCGACCATTCTCCACTTCTCAGCAATCCTTTCGTTGCTTCTGAGCACCTGAGTACGTTCCATTTTACTTGGGTTGACACTGAGTGACCAGCTGGCCCTCTCAATATCGACTGGAAATGTAATATCAGCAAACATCCAAATAATAGCTATGAAAAGTATGAATGCCGCAGACATCACCACGAAACCTGACAATAATATTATTTGTTTAAGGTTTGAGATTGAGTTTCCAGAATCGATTTTCAAGCTCCGATCTTCAGTGGAAATACGGAACTAAAGTCATCAAGGGAAACACAAAGGTTAAATATCCAAAGAAGTGTGACGTATGACGTGTAAGTATTACAAAAAGTGAGGGCTAAGATAAAAGTAAGTGTGACAAATGGGCATGAACAGTGCAGAAACAACTCATGAACAAGGGGTGCAAACTCACGAAAATAACCTAAGTGCTACAACATGTTCTTTTTGCTTTCACTAATCGTGCTTATGCTTAAGAATACAAACAGCTTCAGGGACCTTCAACTGCTGGACATACCGTATTATCTCTCTTATAAACACAGGTCTCCATTATATGCACAGTCTCTATTATAAGCACAGGTCAGAGGGCTGTTGAGATTACAAACGCACCGTCTCCAACATAGCCACAGTGGTAATACTGGAATGCAGCTGTGCGCACATAAAAGTGCTCCACGTGCGTGACTTCCACTTCCGCATCATTCTTTTTTTCTTTTCTCTGTTCTCTAATCATGAAATCTGAGTTAAATTCCAATTTGAGTGTTTTACCGGTATGCAACTTTCTTGACATGTTCAAGGTTGAAAAAAATATAAACACAGTCTCCTCTATAAGCACGGGTGCGAAGTGGGTTGAAAAAATATAAGAACCATGTTTATAAGGGAGATAATATGGTAACGGACACGACACAGTACGGTGAAGTGGGAATCATCATACACACTCAAACAATCGGGACGAGATAACAAATGTAAGTCCACAGCTGACTTCTTACGAATCTCACCCTCATCAGCTCAGAATAGTGTGGACAATACTGACTGGCACAGAGGGCCGTACGCGGAAACTGTTAAACACATTGGCCGCTGATAAGCAGAGCAGGATGCACATGTCATAATGTGCAAGGCAGCCACTCTGAAGAGCCCCAGATCGCTGCAATTTCGACAACGCCAGGAGCTGGAGCTCCACACCATCTGAGGTCCGCTGAATGGGAGCAACACTAATGTGACGAATCTCGCTCGCTCGAAACGCACCAACAAGTGCGAGAAGCATAGTGAGCTTGAGAGTCAACTGCTTCAATGACAATGAGGTGCAGTCCGATCAAGACACTAAATGATCTAGCAAAATAGACGCATCCCACGTTGAGGCATACCGAGGTTGTGGAGGACGAGTATTGTAGATACCACGCATTAAACATACGGATGGGTACCAGCTGAATGGCCGTCAAAGGTACCCTATTGGTGGTGGCCGGAGGTGGGCTGAGCGAGAACTCGGTGACCGTACGAGTTCCCGCACCTCGGAAAAAAACTGGCTGGATTGATAAACAGGTGGTGAGCGGCCATACGGCCGCTTGGAAACAGCCGGTTGCTGGGGAGCCTCACCATCATGCCGGCGTTTGCTGCTACGTTGAGCGGGGAATTTTCGCACAACACTATCGATACCCTTCTCCTCCTCTGCCTGGGCGGCCATCCTGGCAGCAAGGCCTGAGCCAAACAGCTTATCTCCCGGCTGATCGAAGTCCTCATTGGCCAAACAAGCCAACCGGGATGTGTCTTGCTGAGGTACACACCTCGCCGGCGTCCAATGAGGAGCGCATTGGCATCTCCTAATAAATAGCAAGCTTCTTTGAGAGCATCCCTGAACTTGCCGGCCAAATCCAAATCAGTGACCTTCTCAGTCAATGTAAGCAATTCGGCCAAGGGAGGCAACATCCAGGAGTTTCATTTGGGCATGCAATGGATGCGCATCTGGCCGATTATGGAGACAGGGCAGCTTCTGACCAAGGCCATACACCGTGTGGATTATGTTGCTGTCCGGCCTGGAGTACTGTCGGACCAACGCGTGCCGTTGTCGGCGATCCAATTTAGCCCGCAGAGTGCTCTCTAGGAGTTCTTTAGTTCCCTCACAAACTTTCACCCGAAATTCACTCTCGGCAGGTGGAGTGTCATCATCTGCCATATCCTCAGGTGCCTTGCTAGGACCCAACAGACCATCACGGCAATCACTGGCCTCCGAGGAAAATAAAGAGCCTGCAGCCAAAGCTGAGCCAGGCAGAATGACCCACGAGATCCATCCAGCTGGCAGGTAAAGATGAACCAGATTGAACGACTGTGCGCGAAGCACAGACAGAGGATCTCCCGCCGAGAGCGAAAAGCGCGTGTGCTCTGTCAAGCCTGCAGCGAAAGCTGAGCCAGGCCGAACGACTGGAGGGGCGAGCCTTCCTGCGCAGGTATGACTTTGGCCGTATTTCAGCATGGTCGAGTGGAAAAATTCAAAAAAGGTTTATTTCAAGAAAACCCCAAAATGAAGATTGGGGGACATGTCCTCAGCGCTAGAAGAGCTTGTAAATTGGCTATTTTCAAGACGATCATTTGTGGCGTCAGGGGGTGATAGACCTCGTCTTCTGGGATCCTGGCGTGACTAAGCGGTACTGCTCCAGGAACTCTTCTAAGGTGAGGCAATGTTGGCTTGATGGAGTTTTGTTCATAACTTGTTCGGATACGATGTGGCGTGACTCATTTCTAGACCCATTAATGATGTGATATTTTGGCCATTTTTGAGGGGTATGCAAATTTCAAGGTTCCCTTCAGAAACTTTTTCAAGGGCTTTGCACAATCGATCCACACACCAAAGGGAACCTACCTGCAAATTTTGAGCGAAATCGGAGAGATCCACTTGCACACATACTTTGGTATTCTCAGACATGCTCTCTTAAGTTTTCTATAATAGTTCAACTTTGTTTCAGTGTCATTTAGTACAACGCCGATTCCTGATGAGTGTTGTACGAAAACTTGTTTAAATCCTAATATTTTCTCTACACTATTTTTTTCCTATTTTTATCCTCCTGTTGAACGTGAATTAGAGCAACGGACAACGGGAACAAGAAGGTTTTTGTTTTGTTTTGTTTTACTAGAGCCACGTAAACCCGTCATGTGTGAGCCATGAATAAGGGGAGTGGTGGCGTGGTCTGGGATGCTCTGCCGACCCTGGGTCTCGGCTTCATCACAACCAGGCGCGCCAATAGCAGAGAGAGAAAGACAGGGAGAGAGAGAAAGAGAGACATAGACGGAGAGAGAGAAAGAGAGAGAGAGAGAGAGAGAGAGAGAGAGAGAGAGAGAGAGAGAGAGAGAGAGAGAGAGAGAGAGAGAGAGAGAGAGAGAGAGAGAGAGAGAGAGAGACAGAGACAGAGACAGAGACAGAGACAGAGAGAGAGAGAGAGAGAGAGAGACAGAGACAGAGACAGAGACAGAGACAGAGACAGAGAGAGAGACAGAGACAGAGACAGAGACAGAGACAGAGACAGAGACAGAGACAGAGACAGAGACAGAGACAGAGACAGAGACAGAGACAGAGACAGAGACAGAGAGGAGAGAGAGAGAGAGAGAGAGAGAGAGAGAGAGAGAGAGAGAGAGAGAGAGAGAGAGAGAGAGAGAGAGAGAGAGAGAGAGAGAGAGAGAGAGAGAGAGAGAGAGAGAGAGAGAGAGAGAGAGAGAGAGATAGAGAGAGAGAGAGAGAGAGAGAAGAGAGAGAGAGAGAGAGAGAGAGAGAGAGAGGAGAGAGGAGAGAGAGGAGAGAGAGGAGAGAGAGGAGAGAGAGAGAGAGAGAGAGAGAGAAAGAGAGAGAGAAAGTGTAACAATATAGACTTGATTGATTGGAGAATTCCCCAGGGGGGGGGGGGGGGGGGGGGGGGAGGGGGGGAATATTAAATAATCACTCATGCACATGCATAACCACATTGAAGTGTAATCCAACTCAACTCCATCACTCTCACAAGGAGATCACGCAAAACTATATCAGTCTATAACGTATTATTAACTATCTCAGTAAGAGATGCATATGGCTCAGCCCAGTTAGATCAAGGCTGCTGTCGTGGTGAGGCTAGATAGTTCTGCAGCGGTTAAATATTCCGACCAGACTCATCACATAGGTT